GAAACTGGATTCAGGAAATCGTAAACCAGCGGCGTACAAAAGGGGAGACACTAAAATTATCTGTTTACTACGGCAAGTCAGATGAGCTGAGTTTGAGCCTCGGTTGGCTATATCCGAAATTTCCTTTTTTTTTAACAATATCGGAGGACATTTGATTCTTTTTGTAAATCCTAGTCCACTCAGCTTAATGTATCCCCTCTAAAGAGAATCTAGCTTTGGTAAAATTGAACTAGTTTTTTTATGAGAAATAAATTTTACAGCGGAATTCGTTACTGGATATTTCCAGAGTTTTGTTCGTTCTAAAGTATTTAATTTTTAAGAAAAATGGTATTTTTGAAGGGTGCCACTATAATGATCTTAAAGAAGATAATTTTTAATTCTTATATGAGTTAGTCAATAACAACATTGACGACTATTGTTTCCAAAGCAAAATTGGCACAGATAATCCTTTGGTCTCTTGAATTGTCTCTCGAAGTTCTGCTATGCTGTCATATCGTGTTTTATATTCTTCATTTCATATAGCCGAATGGAAGAAAAAATAAATCAAGAGATCGGGAGAACGTCCATTGGTATCTCATTCATCTTTGATGAAAGTTATTATTAAGAAATTCCCTTAAGAACCTAGATTTATAACTTGTACTATAAGTAAGCAGCATTATGTTGGTCCGATCGGATTAAATTGGCAATTGGAGTCTTTTATAGCTATTATATTATGTTGCTACTCCGTGAGTTCATCGATAGGATGTACTGTAGTCCAAAAACGAAATTAAGAACTGTCGAAAAGGTATCCATTTTACGAAATCCGCTTATAATATTAGACATAGCACATCCGATAGACGAGTCGCCATTGGTTTCGCGCCCAATATTTATGTTGAATTTAAAAACACAGGAAACTGTTTATATTATTTATTTGTATTGATTCTAGTTCGGCCGAGGCAATCGCAATTGCATAGATCTTTAAGATAATATTATGGATTAAATTATTGTAAGGTATGGTATTCGTTACAGTAAAATTAATTAAAGTGTTAGAAAGATCGGTTTACGTGCGTACTCGAGATAAATTAAATAAATAATGCGGTTTATCGGTTATATATCTACGGAATGTAGAGAGTTTAGAACGTAAGCGGAATCGTAAGTTTATGCGAAAAATTTACCCCTTTTACCTTTGGCATAGAAACAATTATAGGTATATTATATTATTATTACATAATACTCTGTATCTTTACATTACAAGAAGATCTTCTAGAACAAGTTCGAACAAAAGCTCGAATAAGAAACATTTCGTTTTTTTTTTCCTAATTGTCAATATTTACAGGGGCGATTTGTGAGTTTATTTTGAGAAGGAAACTTGATATTGAAAAATTATTTGTTTTCAAAAATTTTACTACCAAAGTTAAGACATTTAAGACGTGTTAAAGCAGACAATTTAAAAATCCCCTGTAGAGTAAGCATTACTCATAAGTTGATAAACAATTTGAAAAATCGGATATACAGCAACTACTACTTAGACAGCAAAAGCAAAAAATTTACATTTCTTCTTGTTTTTTTTTATGATTTGATTTGTCGAAGATTTTAGGTAGCGCACCCTGTATAAATGTTATCGAAACGCGCAGTGCGAGGCAGCGGTTAACGAGACCCCATTTTACTAATTTCCCAACCGCACAATTCAGAGATGATTTGCATAATAACAATAACTTGAACAAGACAAACGAACAAGTTACCTTTCTTGACGCGTTTAAGCCAGTTAAAGTTTATAACCTCTTTAGTTGGGTAGTAAAACTATACAAGATGGACTCGATGTCATTATATTCCGAACATTTGTTTATACAGGTAAATTCAAATGCGGTCAAAATAATATTATTCATTTGAATCGGAGAAATGAAATGCTCATGCTGAAAGACATATTTGTGAGACTTCAAGTAATACGTCACAACGAAAATACCAGTTTTACCTTGATTTAACATTCATTTTTATCGTTTCCTTGCATTTAATCAGAGGCAGTTGCGAACAAAAATGGCAACCACAATGTATTTATTGGAATATTGCGATGAAGAGAACGAATCGATGTCGGAGTAGGAAACCCCGGAAAACGGGAAACTATTCATTATGGCGTCCCGTTCAATCTTATTCGAAATTGAATTTAAATGCCCCGAGGATGTTTCACCTCTTTTAAATGTACGCATTGACCGGCACAAATCTAATCTCGAATGTTGTACAGTTATTCCGATATTTGCGAGATAGCACTCGAATGACTCTGACAATAACGCAAGTTGTAAGGTCCAACCAAGTCTCAGTCATAATGGTGAACGCGCTCTGCTGGAATTACTGCTATTAATGGCCTTTCTCTTTGTGAGCGTGGTCGGGAATGGTCGATATTAATGTGTTTGCTTATTGTTATAACAGTGTGGCTGTATGAATTCGCACAATGGTTATAAGCGATAACCTCCTATTCAACATTTCTGCCCCTCAAATTAAAAAGAGAAAGACGTTCAAACGAAATAGTTTGGACATTTTTCCATAAGCTATTACTAAAAAATAAAAGTATTTTTAAGTTTCATTGTTTTATCAAAATTCTACTTTCATCGAGATACAAGCGTATGTTGCGACAAGGATTTTGCCTGGCCTAACGTTTCCTAGATGACTTAAAAGAGAGTATGCTTTTGCCAAGGAATATGCTTTGGTTAGTTTAAGTAGTGTGTAAATAAACAAATTTTTTAATGGGATTTCGGAAAACATTAAGTAACCAGGTGAGGATAAAATCTGAGATGGTAAGGGACATGCTATGGGTTTGATAGTACCACTTCTGAAAAAGAGAGATAACAAGAACTGTAAGAATTATAGAAGAAACTCGCTACTATATAATCCATTGAAACTGTTTCAATAACAGAAACAACACACCGTTTAGAAAGAAAGAACGAAAATGTAAAACCTGCTTTATTATTCTCTGAATAATAGAAATTAAACAGTTTAAAAAGTTATCTCTGCAAAATGCTAGCTTTATCCCACGTATTTTTTTCGCACGTATTTTTTAATTATTTGTGTCGTTTCAAAGATCGCCGACTTCTAGAGTTCTCCTGCACTAAACTTCGAAATATGTACTTCTCTTAGTTATTTCTTTAAGTTAGGTGTTATGGTTCACATCCCAACTCCTGGTACTTTTGAATTTTTTCCGTATCTTTCGATTGATGAAATTTTTTTGTGCATGCACCCAGTATAAAGTGTCTTGTATATCTCGCCGAACTTCAATGTTACGGAAAACTTGGGTAAATATTAAAATTTGTAGAAATAATACCGATTTCCAATGACATTTCTTCAAATATCTCGCGCACCCTGCATGATAGATGAAACCTGAAACTCTCTCTTTTTTTGCCCCTAATCGACACACGCTGTACATAATCCAAAAAATGCCGTCATCGTGTTTAGATTGAATGCGAGATATTGCGATCTTCCTATAGATTTTTTCAAATATCTAAATACAAAAATTGTAGTTCTCGTTGCGGCCTGTAATACTGTTTGAATAATTAGTCATATTTTTTACAAATTTTAACTGATGGTCAATAAATTACTTTGCAATAGAACAATTTTTAGGGTCTTTTAGATTTTTGTCCAAAATGTGTGAAATAAATATATGGTACCGGACGTTCCGCGTCTGCTGGTCAAAGAATTTTGCCGATCGGATTAACAGTTTTCGAGAAAATAATTTTTGTCTGGAAGCCAGAATAACCCAAAAAAAAACAAATTTTTTAAAAAATACTTGTCGAAATTTGATTGATCCCAGCTTCAACTATTTAGATGTGGGTATGGACTTTTATTTCTCTCCTAAAATTGAAGTCGATAGTTACAAATTTGAGACACCTATGACATTTTTAAAAATAGCACAGAATATCCCGAACACCCTGTACAATAGGTGAAAACGTTTAATACAAATGTTTTAGCTAACTATGCGGGCTATATAGCCAGGTAGAAGAAACTGACAACTCGATCACAGTCTTCTAGTTATGGTTGATTATCATTATAAAGGAAGCCGAATCTCAGTTCAGTGCAGATTACCAACGCACCCTGTACATTTTTTAAAAATCATCAAGAATAGAGGTTTTTGGTTCGGATCTGGCTTGTCTTTTGGTTCAATAATTTTTTCGATAATATATACCATTTCTGAGAAATGCTTTTTTTTTTTGAAACCCTGCAAATGCGGTTTTTAAATTTTGAATTTGAGCCGAATCTCAGAGCGCTTGCTTAAGCCGTTCGGAAGTTCGCGTTTTTGAAAAGTGATCATTTCTGTACCAATGGGTTTCCCGTTGCCGAGATATGAGTTTCGTTGCCAAGCGCGCATACTTTCGAAAAATTAGATTTCTTAACAAGTGCAGACAATTTTGCTCTAATTTATACGTTCTAACTCTTCGAGATTCCAATTACTTTGATTTTTGTGTTATTCAACAATTCAACAAAGGCCCTTAATCTGATTCAATTATGGAGTCGCATTTTTGATAATGCGTTTAAAATAGCTTACGCACTCGCATCTACAATTAATTAATTTAATTAAAATTATCAAGTATTTAACACAGTCTATAACTGAACAAAGCGGAAGATAACCGGTCTCGGGAGAATTTAATTAAATTTATAAAAAAAAGTTTCGCAATCAATTTAAAAATTAATTATAACTGACGTTAACTTGTGCAATAAATGAAATCGTAATCTAATCTACCGGTTCGATAATTAGTACATTAACTTAATAAAACTCATTTCGGAGTATGACTGTAATATCGAAGGGGATACGACCTTGCCTTCCAGGTGTAGGTTAAAAAGTCTAAAATTTGTCACATTAATGTACGAGCTCACGTAGGACAGACTATACATGATGCCCACCTCTTGGATCCACGCTGTTTGGTATTCAGATTATAAAACTAGTTTGTTTATTTAAACGACGACGATAAAAACTCGTATTTTCGTTCTTTATTTATTTTTGTGTACTAACCACATGTCGCGTCCTTTTGTTTCAGGCAAGTGGCCTGTCCTGGAGATTTATCGTCGGTTTTGCTGTAATATCTTGTAAGTAAATCTAATATTATTTCTCGCTAGTCTGTCAGGATAAGCGCGTTTAATTAGTTTTATGGTTACATTATAGATTTATGTTTGTCTTCGATCGTGCACGATTCGCGGTATCCAAACAACGCGCGCGGTTCATTGTACGAAATAAAAAAAAATATCTGTATTTAACGGATGTAACGAGGGTGTGGCCGTTTATATACGTGGATCAATTATTGATAAGCTTGAGTTCCTCTACTTGTCACCGAGGCAATGCGAGCAAGATAAGAATGAAAGCTATAATCTGCAGAGAGGACTCGGCCTCTGAAAAATTAAATAGAGTGAATTTTATTTTATTAATAATTTCGTTCTCTCGTGTTTCAAATAAATTTGATTAAATATGAAGAAACGTGGAAGGGCCAAGAACACAACTCTTTGTTTCCTTTTTTTATAGCTAATCCACCCTACCTAATTCAGATGTTATTTTATGTCTTTATGTAGTCTTATTCCCTATCACGGCTATCAAACTGAAACTAAAAAATAGTTTCAAAAAATAATTTAAAGTTTCATTGTGTAACTTAAAACGTATTACAAGTAAAATTAACATTTAAGGCGACATATAATTATATAGATATACAATGCAAAGTAGAACTAAGATTTGCTACTCCCTAGTCTCATATACCAGTGTATTTGTTGTACGAGGTTTGTGAATTCTGACGGTCACGTGATACGCCACTCATAATTCGTGCTGTGTTAGAAAAAGTATAGTATGCAACACGTGGCAAACTTCTTCAGTTGCTTCCTTTATTAAACATTCACTCCAAATCAAACTTGTGACTAAAATCGCTTTAATCAAACTTGTTGCTTAATATGCTAAACTGTCATTATTTCATTACCACTATATGATCTTACGAATAGTTAAACCAAATTCAATTATACTTACAGTGGCAAGGACTAATTTTTATAAGAAAATGTCTAACATAATCTTGACACAGTTTTGGAGAAACGTAAATTTTGATTGAAAACTAATTTCAAACTTAAACATGTGTAGGTGTAGTTTACTGAGGTTCGACGAGAGGCAAATCGTTGAGAACTTTTAATTAATTTAATTTAATAAAAAAAGAACATTGTTAGCACTTTTTAATAATTTTTAGTGAAAAGGTAATTTTTATCAGTGACTCATTTTATTAACATTTATCTAGGATTGGCAGAATTCATTTCCTTGAATCACTCAGCAGGGATCAATAAAGATACCTATTGCGACACTCTTTATGATAATATCTTTGTTATAATTCTCCTCAAAAGTTTCGCTTATATTATTAAGCAAATTTTCAATACCAGTAAGATGTAAATCTGTCTAATTTGCAGAATAATAGTGTAAGTTATGTAATAATAAATCTGCTTAGATTTAAACTGCTGTTTGTTGAGTTGTCTGTGAGGATCATATACAGATATCGGTAGTTAAGGTTTTTTTTTAAATATGGTATATTCGACAATTTTTGGTTACAAAGGCTTATTTTTCAAATATTAGTAAGTAGGTGGCCTAGTGGCCCTGTATATGCTCCACCCACGCGCACGTCCCATTCAAACTGAATATTGTCTAATTGACAGGCTGTAGCGGGATTTATTAGTTGAAAGTGAGATTTAAAATGCACCGCGAATATACCATTATTGAATGTCCCTAATCGTATTTTTTTTAAGCTGCCTTTAAAGTGATTGTAAAATCAGAATAGGCAAGGCCTCCAAATGCATCATGCAAAGAAAAAGAAGTAAATTTCATATTCATTTCCAATATACGGTGTAAATATTTAAAAAAGAACTTATTGTGCAAACATCCTTACGTAGGCACCACGCCTCCAATGAAGGTGATGGTGATCATTTTCATCATTTGTGATCAAAGATTCCAAAATATTCATAAAAATACTTAACTGAAAATGAGCCATAAATTTCAACATAGTCGGGCAACAAGTGTGGTAAACGGCATTGGACTCACGAGTTTATTTGACACGAGCGGAGCGCAGCGGTGTTTTGTAAAAATGTACCCAAAAACGAATACACAGAAAAATGTTGTGCAACATATCAGACAATTTGATTACTACTATACTATACTATAAGCTACAATTAAAATCTAGTGGGCTAGTCGGTAAGTAAAGTGACATTTATAATTTATAATAGAAATTTTACATACCGTTCAAATGAACCTTAATGGTTTTTACAGTTTTTATATTAATATCTTGCCAAGAGTAATTGTACCATTTTCAAATATCCATGTCTCATCAGTACAAACAAAACAAAATTGAAGTTTAGGAACTGCTGTTTCTTGCTTATATGATCTTAAAAATTTAATCCTCTTATAAGCTCTATCCATGGATGATTTTTTGATTTTTCTTCCAATTACAGTCTTATTCCTTAAATAAACTACTTAGTGATCAATTGTAAAAGTTAATTATACATCATAACGTTTTAAAATCGTGTTTATTCCGCTGTTAATATGACATATCCAATAATCGATCTCTCTCTGTTTAACGTACACAGTTTAAAAGAGACAACAATAGCAGAACCGATAGGAACGATAAACGAGTAGGTTTAATGGCAACTGATAAATATGTTGTTTGAATGGTACGAAATTTAGTATTCCGATAATCTGTTATTATTTTTAATTTGTCAAATTGTGATTTTCTTGTGACGGTAGTAGAAAAAGTATAATATATAACACGCTTGGTAAACTCTTTATCTCACTCGTTTATTAAGCACTCGCTCCGCTCGTGCCAAATTAACTCATATGCCGTTTACCGCACTTGTTGCATAATATACTATTTTCTACTCCTTTCTGTTAAATACCTCATTTCGAACCTAGCGTGTGGAAAGTGTCAGTTTACTACGTCCGTTTCGTTTTCCACGGATCCAAAATATATTCGGAGATATTACCGCACTTGAATTTCGACGTTTGTCAATTCTGACGGTCATGTCAGTGAATGTATTCGTGTTGTTTTGCAAGAATGACCCAAAAACTAGCGGTCGCAGAAAAAGCATATTATGCAACACGTTCGCTAAACTTTTTAAGTCACTCGCTTATTAATCCACTCGCTCCGCTCGTCCCCAATAAACTCTTGAGTGAAATGCCATTTACCACACTTGTTGCATTGCCCCCTGTATCCAGTAGTTATATGGTGTCGGTTTAGAAAAATATTTAATTTCTTAAAACGGATACTTTTCTCCAGGGATAACGCTATATCCTGTCCGGTTCGCAGGTAATCCGGAACGTTTAAGGGAAAACAAAACAAACGTTCACCTCACGCGAAATAGCCCCGGGCACTCTACAAGGTGTTCCTTACCGCCGAGGCACTACTGGTTTTGGTAAATAATAAATCGGCGCGGACGACGATGATCGTTCGTATTATTGAATTAAACGCGAACGAGTTTTTCGTTTTGTTATTTGGACGCAAAATGGCAGGCCGCCCACTCGCCTCACATAAGTATACCGGTTTTTCGATTCCAAATGTGTTGGTGTAAAAGAATTTATAGTTGTAATTAATGGTCTGGCTTAATGATGTTTTCGATCTGTTTGGTGTGTCCATTCCGAGATAGAGCGAACCGCATTTTAATCTGGATTTTTAGCGTTCTTTGCCCCTCACTCGATCTCTCTTTCTCTGTCGTTATGTGGTTTTTTTTGTTTCTTAGGCCGCTCATTTACATTTCGCGCCGATACCACTTCTTGGCCGGCATCGACGGGCGAATATATTTCAAATTATTTTTTCCTAGATTTCGAAAACCGATACGCGGAGAACCACTTGAGAATGTAATTATGTGGTTGCGGGCAGAAGATTCTATCTGTCTATCGGTGCGAAATTATTATATTATCTCGTTTTGCGCCTACTTCGCTTTTCAGAAGCGCGAACGCTGAAAGGTCTAAGAGAACTGGAGAGGTCGTTGAGAACGATCGTACAGGGTGATTTGGTGAAATGTGAGTCAGTAAGGCGAACGAGACTACGTCGCATCCGTGCAAAAAATGTATCTTTTTCATTATTTGTAAATGAATTCTTTCTTACAATATAGCTAATAGATAATATATTGGCTCTACTACGTCAAAAATTGATACCTGGCCATTGCGCCATTTAAATTTGTTAAATATGAGAAATCTCGCGCATGCGCATGTTAAATGGGCCTTTTCCTCTATTTTGGCCTATATGGTTTTCTAAAAACTAGTTTAATCAATTAATATCAGATAACAAAGACTTAAGTCAAATTGAAGTCAGAGAATTTACGATCAAATTCAATTTTACAGATTTTTTTTGTAACAAACAACTGCCTAGTTTAAACTCTGTTACTACTCTATTACTTTTTGGATTTTGTTTTGTAGAACTTAAATCTCGAAGGTCTCAACACAAAATAATTTTTTGTTTTCATTAACCTCAATACATGATCACATGTATTTATTTCGTACTAACAATTTATTTTAGATGAATTTAGATTGTGGTTTATACGCCACAAAAGTTGGTGATCTGACGGAAGTACTTGCATAACAAATTTCCTTCGTTAAAAAAGCACTTCATAATATTTTGAAATAAAAAATTTAGAGAATTTTAGGATTTGGTGCTTTCTCATTAGTGTGAATTTGCTTGTTCCTCCCTTGCTCAATTTGACTATATTTTACTCTTCAATCAAAATAATAATTTTTTTAACTTCATGCAGAGTTTTTTCTTTTTCTCTTCTTTTTTTGAGAAATGTAAGACCTCGATATGTAAAAAACATTTTATTGAACACTAAATCTAAGTTATGCTCGAATATTGGAGCTAATGAAAATGAGAGAAATTAAAACAATGAAGCATGCCTATTTTTACTCACTCTTCGCCATCTTCTAACTCAGGTTTAACATATGCCTTGCTTAGAGTTCCATTTATGGCCTAAATTTTAAAGAAAAATAAGTTTTACTTGAAGAAAATATCTAGAATCACATCTAGAAATCGTGAAAATTTTAAATTTACAAAAAAGATTTTTGTGTCGGAAGGGACCAAATCACTGAA